TCAGAGGTATGTGAGCCTGAAGTGGAGAGAGAGCAGGAAATTGTTCTTAACTTTTGTGGCTGAAGTCACAGACCTTGCCTTTAGGGAACAATCTTTACACATCTTCTTGTCCACGAAACTTTCCGGAATTGGTCCCTGTGGCCTTTGCATGGTGCATGCTCTTAGCATCTCTGCATCTGTGTGCCACCTCCTTGCAGGAGTTGTGATTGCTTCCCACAGGGCATAGCACAGCCTTTGCCAAGTGAACTTGGCTCTATCCAGGCAGGACCCAGTGGGGCCCACAGGCCTCCCCTGGACCCTGCTCCAGGGCAGTCTTGCAGGGAGAGGGGGTGGGGAGGCCAGCAGGCTGAGCAGTGCAGGCCCAGCCAGCTTTCCTGTCAGACGGCGCTGCCAAGGCGGAGCTAGACATCGGGAACAGGTTTAACCAATTACCCGAGCGCCCCATCTGCTGTCTGGGGTTCGTGTGAGGGTGAGTGCATGTGAGGGTGTTTGGAGTGTCTGGGCGGGCTGTGGGCGTGCGCGAAAGTGTGACTGGGTGGGTGGGTGTGGGCGTGCGGCTGTGCATGTGTGTTGTGCACGTGTGCAATGTGTGGCTGCACATCCCAGTTACACCTCCTCATTTGTCCAAGCCACCAGCTTATAGTCTTTCAGACCCCTCAAGACTCACAGTCTACATCACAACCCATCCAGCACCCCAGCCTCTTTCCACTCTCCCTATCACCCCTCACTCTTGGGCCTTATCAGCTCTGAATGGGCCCTCTCTTGAGTCACAAAGTTCTGTCCTATCAGATCAGCCATTTCCATTGACCTGCTCATTGCTGGGCCTTAAAAGGCCTGCTAACCATGGTCCCTTCTATTCTCTCTCCAGCATGTCCCACTAGTTCTTTTTTTTTTTTTTTTGTACTGGGGATTGAACTCGGGAACTTTTGGTTGCGAGGCAGGTGGAGGCACCACTGAACTAAATCCCCAGCCACCCACTAGTTCTTAATTGCACCTGCCTGGCAAAGTCTCAAGCCTGCTTGGACCATTTCTGCACCTGCCCTTGCAGTCAGTCTGTGAGGACATCAGGCAAGCATGTGGGGTGGCCTCCTTTAGTATGGGGCCTGGTCCCCTTTGCTAAGTACCCCCCAACTCTACAAGAGAGGTGTCAGACTGTCACCCTTCTCCCCAAAGATCTCTTCCTCTTACTTTCAGCAGAAGACTTCCATCTTCAGAAAGAAAAAAGACAGCTCTAGAAGAGAAGACGTTTTTCTCATCAGTCAGAGAAGGTGCCATCAAACAGGGCTATGGAGGAGAGTTTAATAAGGGAACAATTAGTCAATTCTTGAAACTCACAGGGGATGTTACAGTACCTCAGGGCTAGTAATAATGGAGAGCCCACATGGCCTGGGCCCAGAGTAGTGGGAACAGTGGCCGAACTGGAGAGGATAGCTGCTTGGGACTGGCCCCTGGACAGGAGAGTGACCAACAGTGGAGAAAAGGTCACAGATGGCAGGAGGGACAGAAGGATACATCCTCCAGTCTCCTACTGGTGGCTCCCAATGGTGGAAGACAGAGAGCAAGTGGAGGCAAGCCAGCCTCCCCTGGAGTCCACCTCCTAAGGAGACAGTAGGCAGAGAGGATGCAGGTGGGTCTGGAGGAGCATCACCCTTGACTCCCACCCTCACCCCACACCACCTGCCTCCAACCCATCTTCTCCACTTGCCTCCTGTTACTACTCATGACACCTTTCTCCTGACCAGGAGGATCCCTGACTTAGGCTCCAGATTCTGTCTGCAACCCTGAGGGCTCACTCCTGCTCTGTTCCTTTTTCCTGTCTTCACAGCCTCTTCTGTCTCATGCCTCAGAGTCTCCCTCCTAAGTGCCTCCTTAGTCCATTTCACCCTGCAGCCATTGCCACATCTCTGCCCAATTCGCAACCAAATTTCTTTACAGAATTACATTTGCTGGCATCACTAGGAGGGCCACTGACTTCTCAGCCACTGAAGCCTTGTGCCCTGACCACACCACCAAGACCATTCTCTCCAGGTCCTCTCAAGGAACCTGCTTTGGTCTTCAGCTTCCTTCACTTTCAGGGCCAGCTAAGGTATGGAGAACAACTCATACTTGTAGCACTCTCCTCTCTTGTCCCTCTGGAATACAACACTCTCCTTGTTTTCCTGTATTAGTGTACCAGGGCTGCCATAACCAAACACCACAACCTGGGTGGGTTTCTTCTGAGCCTCTCTCCTTCACTTGCAGATACCCACCTTCATGTTTACGGGCTTTCTCTTAGCATGTCCTGATCTCCTGGTCTTATAAGGATACCAGCCATATGGGATCAGGGCCTATCCTAATGACCTCATTTTAACTTATTACCTCTTTAAAGACCTTATCCCCAAATACAGTCACATTTTGTATTTGAGGTTGACACTTCAGCATCTGAATTTTGGGATTCCACTGGCTCTCTCACAGGAACCTTTAAGAACCTACATCACCTTCCTTACAGATTTGTTCTTCCTTCTCTGTTCCTTGGCTCAGAGAAATCGCATCCCCTTCTTGTGAGCTTCCCAAGAAGAAACCTAGGGCATCTCAGCCTCCTCCCTGCTGCTCTCTCTACAGTGAATTATGAAGAGGTGCTCAGCCCTGCATCCCTCTGCTTTCTCCATCCATGCCCCCACCATGCTAGCCCAGCCCTCATCTCCCCCACTGTGACTGCTGCAGTGGCCCCTATGTGGTTTCCTCAGCAGCCCCATCTGTGTCCACTTCCCTTTCTGAATGGGGGCAGGAGGACGCCTTTCCCCACTTTAGGCCTCAGGTGCTCACTTGTGCTTGGCCTGTGGCAGCTGGTCCACAGCCCCTCTTGGGTCTTGCCCTGTCCTCTAACATAGTAGCTTCTTGGCAGAGGAGGAAAGCCAGTGTCATGTGGCCTGGGACTGATGCCAGCCCCCACGTGCATAAGGTCTACACGGAAAGGGTCTGTCCATTTGTCACCTCCTCTTTCACCTTTTTGTTCTCTTCTTTCCACCCTTCCACCCCTCCATAAAGCCAAGATTCTTGTTTTGGTTGGGGAGGCATCCTTGGTGGAAAGGTGGTAGGCTCTGGCCTTAGACAAGGCTGCCAGCAGGTGCCTTGGTGCAGGGTGGAGAAAGAACACTTCTTGGACACTGGCCTGAGGGATACTTTGTACTGAAGAGAACGGTGGGCCTGTAGGGGTTAGGCTTTTGAGGGGAGTGGCTGAGACATTCCCATTTGAGGGGTTAACCAATGACCAAGGAATGGGTGAGATGACAAGAGCAGCAGCAGCACTAAGGGACTGATGGAGGCTCCATTCTAAAAATGAGGCAGGTCCCTAAGGCCTCAAAAGAGGGGCACTCATCATTGCTCTGACCCCCTAGATTTCTGACTCTCCTAGCCTTTGCCTGAGTGGGAGGAGGGAGGCCCTACTGGCCAGGCGTGTGGGTATGGCAAGCAGGGGAGACTGCATTCCTGGAGTGCTAATGATCTCTGAGTTGGGCAGGAGCTGAGCCCCCAAACAGCTAAAAACAACAAACAGCTCCCAGAAGAGATTTGTGTCTGTCCTGAGAGTCGAAGATTTCCACCCAGATGGGGGCTGTGGCCTGTGCTCTAAGCAAATTCCTCGGAGACCAGAAGCCCCCTGGCCTGGAGGTACCACTTGGAGAACAGACCCCACCCCCACCCCTCTCTCCTCCTTCCTTCTATTCTATGGAGGCCCAGTGGCCTGGAGTGGAGACAGCACCTACACACACCTGCAAGGCAAGAAAAGAGTATAGGTTCATTCTTCATCTGGTTTCTCTGTCCTTCCAACAGGCCAGCAAGTGACATAAGGACCCCCAAGCCCAGTTAAAAAAGTGCCCCACAGAAAGTGCTCAACATCATGACTGAACAAATGGGTGAATAAGGAAAGTGACTCACTGGAAGTCACTGAGTCACACTGGGCCATGATAGGGCTGAACCTGGCTGACACTAACCATAATGGTTTTTCTCTGCTATTCTTCACCAGTTTCTCTCCGCAGGGCTGGAAGATGCTTGGGGTCCTCTGGGAGCTACCTGAAAGAGGAGGAGCCAGGGGTCTCAGGAGGTGGCCAAGTCCTGGCCCCAAGGGACCATGGAGGAGTGAGGAAGGCACAATTCTCAGGATTGGGACCATGTACATGGCAAACATCAGCACCTTTCCACTTGGCTTAGACCTTCCCCACTCTGAAACTTCTCTACCTGGTCACAGGTAGTCCAGAATGATGATAACTCTCCCTCCTCCAGCCTCACAAGTACAAACAGAATGAGAGTCATGTACTGGTTCCTTGAATTGGGTACCTTAGTGAGCGCTCAATAGCAACTCTGCAAAGGGGATCCTTCAGCAGTGTCAACTTAACCCCTTTGCCCAGCTTCCTGCCTTCCATGCTCTGTCCTTTCCTTCACTTTCCTCTTGGCTTTCCCTCTGACCTTGCCCATCCTGGACCTGACTCAACACCTTCCTCAGGGGCCTTTCTATAAAACCTTTACTCTTTCCCATTGTGCGTCCATATTCCCACCTCTCCCACCATGATTCACAAAGCCACACCCTGATGCTTTAAATGCATTGTTTATTGCCCACAGGTCATTAGTATTACATAAATCACACAGATTGAGAAATTTTTTGAGGTTAAAAAAACACTGTGAAGTCCCCTGGGTGTGATGAGGCCTGTGGGTTGGGGCCTCACTCATCCCTGCCCAAGGCTGGCAGACCACCTGGGATCTTCCCCTGGCTCTTCTCAGGATGCCACCCTTCTTCCAGGCCAGAGGCTCAAACAGGAAACAAGCCAGCTCACAGTCAGGAAGGGAACAGGGCCTGATGGCTGCCTTGACATCTTTGACGTTTGGAGCTTATATTCTCAAATTGCTTTCTGGGAATAGGAGAAGGCCATCCCCGGGACTAAAGGAATGTTTCAAGTGACCAGAGGAGTATTGAGCAGGAAAATTTTGGCCTCCTCCCCAGTCACGAACCAATCCACCCCCCACCCCCACCCCCCACCCCGCCCCAAGACCTCTCTCCTCTGCCCTCAGCAGAGATGAGCATGGGTGTTAGCAGCAAGTTTCTCTTTATGGGGATTTCTAAAGCCAGACCAGGGCTTAGCAGCATGGCCCATTGAACCTCTTGTCACCAACACCCTGAGCTATAAGGATCCTTTTCCAGTGTACCCTCCTGCAGAGCAGCCCCCTTAGCTCACCTGGAATTGCATTTGAAAACATGATTAAAAAAAAAAATCATCCAGAGACAAAGCAGATATGAGATGCTGAGGCCATGGGGTGAGGGGGCTGGGCTGGGGCAATCAGCATGGAGGGGGAGTGCAAAAGCCCCATCTCTGCTGGGCCTCTGGAAGGGATAGGTAAGTATAGGGGTGCAGTTTGGGCCCAAGATAAAGTGCACAAGAACAAGACCCTATGACAAGATAGGGCAGGGTGAGCTTGAAGTGAGCTTTTCAAAGAGGACCCAGACATGCCCAGCTTCCAGTCCAGGCCCAGAGACCAGCACAGCCAGCAGTGATTGGAACAGTCATATTACGGTGGGATTGGCTCAAAATACCTGCCCCTCCAACACTGTGGCCCCCTCTCCCCTGCTGTTTTGTCTTCCATACTGATCTACATCTTCTCTCCCTGATAAGCAGGGATGGATGCTCCTCCAGAGTGTGGTGGACCCTCACGGCAACAGCCTGCAGAACCAGCTGCTAGCCACCAAGCGTGCATGTGTCAGTGCCCATGGAAGACCCACCTCACCACAACTACACGTCCCCCAAGATGTGGAGAGACTGCCTGTGGTCACGTCTTGCTGCTCACACATCCCTTGCCCTCCACACACATGTGTTTACCTCTAGCCTAGATTTCTCTCAAGGTCACCAGGGGAGGGAGGCCCAGGGCTGCATGTTCAGAGTGCCCATCCTAGAGGGAGTCAGGTGCAGAGTACATCGAGGCCATGATTCTCCTTTTGGGCTTTTCAGGTGAGGAGTCACCCTGCCTCCCACTTCGCTCTCTTCCTCCCTTGCCTGCAAATGGGAGAAGAGCCAGCAGCAAGGGCACTCTGAGCCTGCAGAGGTGAGAGGTGGATTCAGTTGTGGGCCCATGCTCATGCAAAGGCATCCATGCCACCTCCTCCTTCAGAACAGTGAAGCGTTTGGCAAAGGTCAAGTGCTCACATACAGAAGGGCATGGTCCGGGTTCTGAGGCCAACTGCTGGCCAATCCCAAACAGGCCTGCTCCTTTCACAGGCTAGTGTCCATGCTGATGCTGAGATGAGCAGCATCCAAGCAGAACAGGTAAAGATGAACTGGAAGTTGTAGGAAACCCTTGATCCAGTATTCTGCTTCTGGGCGGGGAGGCTCAGAGAAGGGGGTGGATCGCCCAAGGTCAAATAGCCTATTAGTGCCAGAACTGGGCCCACCCTTCCTGGATTGATGCTGCCTCACAGATAGGTCCTAGGGATCTGGCCTTGGCACCCTCAGGTGTGAGACCCTCCTGCTCAGAAAGGGGTGGATGGGGCAGGCAGGTTCCATGGCTGATTTTCCAGGCAGCAGTCGGCCCAGCTCCAGTCTACCCTCAGCCTGATGCCCAGCCTGCAGCCTGCAGCCCGCACTTGAAGGAGGATCTTCCCACAGAGGCCAGCACAGACCCATGGTTCCTGTCAAACATCATTCTTTCCTTGGGCTCTCTTCTTGGAGCTGGAGGTCCTCTAAGGGGCCTAACATCAGTGAGAGCTCCACGAAGGCAGATCTCAGCCCCGTATCACTGTGCTCCACTCAGGAGCTGGTCCCGCAGCTATGGCATGGATGATGGCCGGCCACGTTCAGAGCCTGAGGCTCATGGGATCTTCTGGAGTCTTCCAGGGCTGCTTGATTCCTTTGAGCCATTCCTGAGGACTTCTGTCATGGCTAGTTCATCCTGTGGGGTGCAGACCACTTCCCTTCACTTCTTCACTCTGGTCTGGTCACTCTAATATCCTAAATCTACCAGACACACCTACCCATCTCCCAGGCCACCTGTGCACCTGTCACTTCTGGTCTGCTTCAACCAAGGCTCAGACTTGATTCTGATTTTTAAAAAGAAGAAAAAAATTTAAAAAAAGAAATAAAAGTATAAAAGAATCCTGTGTCTACCCCATGGGCACGCCTAGTTTTTTAGCTTCACACATAATTGTGCTGAGTGGAGTTTTGACAACCCCATGTAAGGCCCAGAAATGCACTTGATGCTTTTGTACAGGAAATGTGTCAGAATCTCTCTCCCCTTCCTATGTTAAAAGGTGAATGGGTTAGTCTCCCTACCACTGTGGGTTGAGTGCTGCCCAGGTGGCCCAGGCCTTGTGGCCCCTTGTGTCCAGCCTGCCCCTCCCTGCAGTTGCCTCTGCAACTCCTTCCTGCCCCCAACTCCTCCCTGGCCTGGACAATGTGCTGTCCTCAGGCCAGCCGACCACCATTCACAGCCCCTTGTTGTACACCACTGTCCGGCTGCTCGTGGCCCGGGCAATTTCAGGTTCTAATTGAGATGTTTCAATCTGAGGAGAAAGAAGAGAGAGAAGAAAGGTAGAGAGATGGGAAAGGGGTGTTGGAGCAGCAGTTAGGATGACCCTGGTGCCCATAGTTCTGTCTCTCTGCTGCCCCACACTGCCAGCCAGGGCCTAGTGACACATCTTTCTTTAGCAAGATGCCACCATGGGGGGACAGGTATGGACATGGGACACTTAGTGTCCCTGCCCTGCCAGCCCAGGTCTGGCCTCTTAATTCTAGATCTCCCCTATCTCCAGAGCCCCTTTTCCCTCTCCTCCAAACTCCACCCTCGTGGTGCCCATAGTCCCCCACAGCAGCACCCCAGCCTCTGCTGCTCCTCTCCATGTTTAGACTATCCAGGCTGAAGGCTCCAGGTTCCCCTCCACTTAGTCTTCACCTTCTTCCTCCAACACACAACCAGAGGCCATCACTTCAGCTTCTCCCTGGCCCAAGGGTCCTTCCAGGCCTGACTGTTAGAAGCCCTGCTTTGGAGGGCCCCAACCATGCATCTATCATTTCTGCACTTAAACCTAACCACCTAATGCAGATCACTCAAAATTCACTGCCCCTGACTTTGCCTGGACCCTCAGCAACTGGCAGTGGCATCACCCTACCCTGTTGCCCACTCAACTCCTTCTCCCTTTCTCCACAGAGGCCATCCTAACCTTTCTCTGCTCACCCTGGCTACTCCATCTTCAGGTCCCCTCTCCTGAGCCCATGAGCCTTCTTAATTCAGAGGAAAAAAAGAAGGCACCAGAGAGGAAGCACTTAGCTTCTCATCATCCAGCTTCCCACAACCTCCCTGTGCACACACGCCCACCTGTGCCCCCAGCAGCTACTCCTCCCCTTGATGGGCAGCAGCAGAGGCTCCACCTCCCCCCAGCCTGTTTAGTAGCCCCCTCCCAATTCCTCCTCTTCCCACCTTGGCTGTCCACTGACTTCTGCCCATCAGTGCCCTTGATAGGAACTTTTGGTCTGAGGACCCCTCCCCTCCTCCCCATGGCAGGCTCCGATACTGCCTCATCTCTCCCCTCCCCAGCAACCACATCTCTTTAATTGTCTACCCTGGTCGTGTTTGCTTCCTCACCTCCCACTGACTTTCCAACCCACAGCAAATCTGGCTTCTTCTGTTCCCACCACCCTCCACAGAAATCTTCCTCTCCAAGGTCACTGACATTCTTCATTTCACAACATCCACCAATTGCTTCTCAGCGCCCTTTGGGCTTGGTCTAGCTGGGGCCCCTGTGTTCCCCCATCTGAGGCATTTTCCAGCCATGTCCCGTCTTGGGGAAAGGCACCACAACCCAATACCATTCTGGTTGAAAACTCTGGAGCCTCCTCACCCACTCTTTCCTTCCTTCCCCCAAGGTCTCATTCACTTTGATTCATCCCCACCATGGCCAGTGCCCACGAGCTAAGTCTTAGGTCTGGTTATGCCCCTCTTCACTATAAAATGGCTCAGTGACCCCTACTGCCCTCAGGGGCCAAATCCAGACTCCCACACCACCACTATCCCCCCTCCTGTCCACCCCTCAACACCTTTCCCCTTGTACTACAGAACATGGACCACATACTAAATTTGGGTTCCTTGGACACAATGGGCTATTCCCCTCTTGTTCCAGCTCTGCCTGATCTGACCTCTCCACCAGAGCTGCCCTCACACCCCCACTCCCACCTCCACTTCTTCTGCCCCCATCTTCAGTCACTTTCATGGCTCAGCTGTGGACATCTTCTCTTCTCTTGTTCAGTCTGGGTATGTCACCCTCTGGCCCTGCAGCCTCCTGCACTTCTCATGTCCAAGTGATACCACTTTGTTTTGGGGCTGATGCTCACTCACTCCCCTCCTCTCCACATCAGATCACAAGCTCCCTGAGGTGGCTGATGTGTGGGTCTTATACACTCCAGTGTCTTTAAGGCCTAGCACAGTGCTGGTATCCCTAAGTACTGAACAAATGGGTAGAAAGAAAAGAGGTATCCAGCAGTGGGAAATGGGGTCTCCTTGGAGACCAGATGCTGGTCTTTGGCTCCAGGGAGGAAGGTGGTCCCTCAGCCAGGAGACCCAGCCTGACATCTTCCCTGGGCAGGGTCACAGCAGCGCCAGGACTGTGCAACTGCTGAACTTGGTCCTTGACACCTGCAGAATGCCAAGACATGCCAACCTGGGAAGTAGGAAGAAGGTGCCCAGATGAGCCTGTCCTTCAGAGAGCTCAGTCAAGGCCAGGCTATGCAGGTCAAGGTCCTGAACAGAGAGTTTGGTAAGGACTGGAGCTAGTGGCTACAGTAGGGATCCTGGGAAAGGAAGGCCCCTTTCCCTGTAATCCCTGATACATCAGTACCAATGCCCTACTTGGTATGGCCAAACAGACAAAAAGAGCTAGGCTCACGACCCACGTTTCATCCCCATCCCTCTCTCCTCGAACCACCTTATCCCTCCCTACCCCTCCTGCCCCAAGTCCCCTCCACCTCGAGTCCCCTCCACCCTATCGGTTCCCCTCGTCCCTACGCTGCCACTGACACAATGCACAGCGCCCACGCTTAAAAATCTAAATGCTTTTGAAAATGTTTAACCTAGTTAGACAAATTAGCAAAAATTTGTGCAAAACAATTTAGGTATTTAAAATATTCAATGTTTTTAAAAAACTGGAAAACTGTTCTTAGCTTTCAGCTGCAAAAACCAACAAAATATAACATCCCAGCAATCTTACCATGAGGTGTAACATAACCCTTCGGGAAAGCTGTTAAACAGCTACTGAGGCATCCTGGGAAATAGCACTTCATTTATTCAAATGCACATATGTCAGGCTTTTGCACCATATGTCATTCCAAGCTATTTACAGTAATAATTAAATCTTAATCAACGTTTAACCTCTGTAAAATGTTTGAAGAATCCTAATCACCCTTCAGACTGCACTAATGAAGGAGAAATATATAAACATAAAAGGAAAATGATGCATAGATAACACACTGGAAAGAACCAGTAATTGCAAAATTGTATTTCTTTTAAATATAATCAGTAAATGATGTAAAGTAAGCCAAGGAGTATTTTAAGTTAAGACATCTTGGATGTCAGAGGTGTGAGCAGCTAATTTTGTTCTGCTACCCATAACAGATGTAGCATATTTTATTTTAGTGCCATTATTAGCAACTTCCCATGCCGGCTTTCACTGAAGCACTGAGGCCCGCATTAAAATCAGAGAGGCTGCTCAGCACTGAGGTGGAGGACCACGGCCCAGGGCCACGGCCCACAGTGCTGACTCCCTGAAGCCCATGGTCCCGAGGTAAATTGAGGTGTCCCCCTCCCAGCCCCTGAGGCTCCCCTAAGCCCCCTCTGAGCTGAGGGAAGCAGGTAGGAGGGAAATATCAGGGAGATGCAGGCAGTGGGAAGGCTCTGGGAAAAAGTAGCTGGGTGCAGTGGAGCCCAGGCTTGGGGATGGAGCTGCCATGCTAGGGCTTCTTCTCGTCCTAGTCCGTCAGCCCTATGGACAGCAGAGGTTTATGGCCACCAACTCCATGTATAGGGCTGAGTACACAGAGATGCTGAGACCAGCCCATGCCCTTGAGAAGCTCCAAGTCCAGGGGAGGAGTTAGTGAGTGAAAGCAGATGGATTCCAGAGAGACAAACAAAGTGCCATGGAAACTGGAGAGGGACTGGTGGTTACAACTGACAGATGAAAGAATCAGGAAGGAAGACTTCTCAGAGGAGGTGGGTCAGGAAGAAAATGAAGGATTTTGATAAGACTGGATGGAAAAAACTTGCTAGGTGAAGGGAAAAGCTTTAGCTGGCCAGGATGGGGAGTTGGGGTATGTTGGGATTATTGGAAAGATGTCAGGAAATGGAGGCCAGGACAGCCAGGACCTTGTAGGCTACATGAAGCCTTTTATCTGAGGGCAATAGGAAGCCATGGAAGGGTTTTGAGCAGGGGTGGGCCATAATCCGGACTGTTTTATAAAGGTCTTTCTGACGGTGGAGGTGTGGAGGGTAGACTATGGGGCTAAGTGATGAGGCAGAGAAGCTTCCTCTGGAGCAGCTCCTAGAATCAGCGAGGTGCAAGGTCCTGCTTTATCTTGCTGCCAGTGGGAGCAGATGGAAGGGTACACTAAGGATCCTTTCTGAGGACAAAATCCAAAGGAGTTGATGACCAATCCCACGCGGGGGTGAGAGGGAGGTGTCAAGGATGACTATGCATTGGATGACTCCTAATTCTAGCTCAGAAGCTGGGGTGGCTGCTGATGCCATTCTCAGAAGAGGGCGTATGGGAGGGGATGGGCTGGGGGATGGGTGCAGGGTGGCCATGCTGAGTGTGGGGCGCCTGTGGGTTCCCCAGTGGAGAGGCCTGTGAGGCAGATGGGTCCAGGGCTCTGGGCTCTAGGCAGGAGAGAGAGCCCGGAAGTGTGAGCAGAGCCAGAGCCTCCGGAGTGGAGGAGCTTGCCCAGGAGAGCAGATGGAGGGGCAGGTGCCAGGGCCTAGGGAACAGGCACATTTAAGGGGTGGGGGATGGGGGGTGGGGGACAGGACAAGTCCATGATTCAGTCTCAGGGGACCAGCATGAGGATCAGAAGCAGGTCCAGAGGGTTCCCAGACTCGGAGAAGCCATGGCCACCAGCAAACAGTCTTCTGAGTGTGGTCTCAGAAGTGAGGACTCAGAGGCTTTGGTCTTGCCACTTGGACTGCGGTGACCTCCATTGGCCCAGATTTCCCAGCCCCCACTCAGTGCAGACCCTGGACACAGCCTTCCCCTTCCATCAGAGGCAACTCAGCTGGCCATTTGTTAGTTCCTCTCCAGCTCTCTGGCCAGGGTTGGGTGCAGGCCCAGTGGTCTGCCATTTTCAAGTCTCAAGGGTACTGGGGACAGTGGAGGGTCCTCATGGTTGGGTTCACTAGGGGAAGCCAGGGAACCCTATGCTGCCTCCCTGGTCAGATCTGCTATTTCCTCCCCTCTCACCAACAATGAAGAGACCCTATTGGAAGCCACCTCTCTGATATGTGTGTGTAGAGAATCCCAGGGTC